AGGGTATTAAAACCACTAAAGTTATTGTCAATATTATTTGTATCATTTGGAAGGGTATCAACAGAAGAGCGTATGAAAGATTTATTAAGAGTGTCAACATTAAGAGATGGAACAGAAATACATCGCTTACCGTTAGTAATTTCTTTGAAAAGTTTCCATAAATTAGAAGGGGTTTTACATGACAAAAATCTTTGATTATATAAAACATTTAGTCTTTTCATTTCCAGTTTTATCAGAATGTTTAACTTTTTTACACCAGGCTTATCATTTGTTTTGAACAACAGTTCTTTATCTCTACGTAGCTTTTTGAGATATGGCGAAGATAAGCGATCAAATCGAATGAATAATGTTTCTTTAGGACAACATATTTCGAAACAGAATTTAAGATAATCGGTAGTGTTTGTGATTGTTTCATCTAATGTTTGTTCTGTAAATAAGTCCCAGTTAGTGTCTTTCAACATGCATCTGAGCTTGTCTAGGTTGTCTTGTGAGTAGCATCTCCGTTGAACTTTACTGTAGAGGTGAGAGAGGACACCTTTGTGTGATTTGGAATATATTTTAGGCAGTACACGTATGATGCAGTGGTCAGAGTTAAGTAAAGGAGCACGTTTGCGAGCTTCATATATACCAACATCATTGATAAATACTAGGTCCAGTATTTTACCAAGACGGGTGGCAAAGTTAACAATATTGTCATGACCAAGTGATATAAGGAAGGAGCAATCGCTTCCATTGAAGTCGCCAGTTACTATTGATAAAGAGTTCTCGAAACAAGCTGCAGCAAAAGCGGTGAATTCATCGGCGAACATAGATAAATCCAATATGGTACAGCCAGGAGAGACATAAACATTAGAAATATAAATGAATTTGTATTTTGAAATGTGTTTCGGGCGACATCTCACAGTGATGCAATCAATGAAGTCATTCGAGAATTTGAAACAAACTTTGTTTGAAATGGACCATTTTGAGTGAATAAAAGTTGCAACACCTCCGCCACATTTTTTCTTGGAACAAACACGGTCTTGTCGCAAAACATTAAAATTGTTTAGAGACACAATATTGTCATCGTATGAGTCATGGAGCCAGGTTTCTTGTAGAGTGACAATACCAGTATTGTGGTAAATTGGGACGACAACAGGGACTGAAAATCCAGAATTTTATTAGGCAGGGACCGGCAGTTGGTACTAATGATAACTGGAACAGTGGTGTGATGTATGGGTGTAGATTTTAAGGCACGCTGCCAACCTCCATGGTGCTTTTTCTTGGGTTTATTGCAAATATGAAAGTTTTTGGGTTTAAAACGTTTTATAAAATCCCGGGAGTGAATAATACGATTAGAATGCATAATATGATATGTAAACACCAATAAAATATGGGTAAATAGATGCAGAATGTACATGGAATGTGGTAGCCCGAAATGTTCAAACAGGCCGCCAAGGTCATAAGGAGAACATGTAAGAATGGTGATTTTTACATGATTCATAGGCATTTCACCACGTTCGTATATCGAGTTGTCAATAAACACTCCCACCACTAAATGCTGCCTTGATCAGATGCTACAAACCTACATGGATTAGAGGTAAAGAAGTCGTGAATAAATATTCCTGTTTAGAGAAAATACATAGTCTTCAAATTGCCTTAACTTTCAATATAACACCTGATACTTTAAACGTCCGCGAAATGTTTCATTGGAAGCGTTACATATACTTAATCTGATAGTGATAATGCATAACATTCATGTATATTAATGGCGGAATCTGAAGATTAAAATGAGAAATCTTCATTTTGGAAACAGGTTATTTATTTACTAAGCAACATTGCGTTTGATAGGTGTTACCTGAAAACTTCGCTCATTGTACTACATAGAATCACTTGAAATATGCGAAGCCTTTTCAAAACTTGAGAATATTATATCACTTCTAGTGTTTGCAGGATTGGAATTCTAGATCCTTCTGAAAACATGATGAGGGAAGGAAAATTAAATGAAGATGACTGACTGGTGTCTGTAATTCATCGTTTGGGCTAGTCGGCCCAGTAAGTAGCCATCCACAGTCTTTAAAACACCTGTGTTCAACTACATTGGGAGGTGTTCTTCATTGGAGACTACTGAATTCCTGTGGAAACCACTAAGATAACTATTCTCACAGAGGTAGTCAAATTTAGAAGCGGTAATATTGAAAAACTCATTCTCTGCGCTCTGTGTCACTATCGGAATTGTGGGAAACATAATTCGTAATATTCTTGTCACAATTTCTCTGGCCAGATCTGCACCGCTTTTGAGTCAAATTCTCATTCAGCACATCTCTGCCTAATCGCATTCAAATGTACGTCGGCTTTTACTATCAGCAGTCGAAAAACGTTTCTTTTCTGTTCTTCATGGTATGTCTTCTAATGGATTCCTCTAGATAACTGTTTTCAAGTAGAGTGTCTTGTGAGGTCATCACTTCTCAACGGTATGATATATTCCGTGGTTCAGAGATCTTATCAAATATCACTCGTATTCCAAGGAAACAAGGCTAATTTGTGCATTTGCCTCTCAATCCACATACTGCTTCCTATTACACGAATACCTTCTTATTGATCCATATACTCACACTAAAACAATAACATGCTTCACACACACACACATTCTCGCTCACTTGTAAACTGCATAGATAAATGTATTTAGTTTAATCTAGTAAGTATCTCACCACTGTTCATCTCCTTAATGACAGCGGCTGAATGAATCCCTCAACCACTTCTTATAAACTGTAAACTTTCTCACTGAATGGTGTAGTGAATCATTTCCTAGCTTTGTCGTCAATAGGTGTGCAAATTTGCACTCAATAGAGAACCAATTACGACTCAGTATATCCGTCCGTGTCATTCTCCCTAGAACTAAAATTCATCATATGCTTCAGACATTCTTCTTTAGACTGATTCAATGGAATCTTATTGCCCCTGTCAACGGAATATTTCGTGAAGGAGAAGTTAATTACTTGGATACCATCAATACATTCCCAATATTTATATTTTGACCATGTCACTGATTACAAACACTTTTTGTTTTACATTGTATTGTACTGAATGTGTATGTAAGTGCAGAGCCCGATGGGAATGTTATTGAATATTCATTACTGAATAGTCTGTATTTGAAATGTTTAATTACCTCATGGAGTGTATGGACAATGAAAATGAAAAATACGTTTCAGTTTTACAATGATTTATACTGTGTGTACATGTGTCTTACGAACTTCAAGGTGAAGTGTTCAAATGAATATGATACAGTTGCTTTAGTCACATAGTGCTAATTTATCCAAAAACAACATGCCTATTGACATGCATATTGCTAAAATATCTGCCCATAGAAGGAAAGCTATTTGTTCATAGCTAAATAAAGATGCATCACCGTCTCTGCAGCGTTTCATTTGACATGCAGTAACAAATTCTAACTGTAATTCAAAACAGATTAGATTGCATTCGTGAGAGAAAACTATTTGTTCTCAAGTTGAATTTCATCACTAACCGACATCAGTTAGAGAGGCAGTGAAAAACAGAGATTACTAGACAGATGTAACGTCCATTTTGCATTAATAACAAACTAGGAGATAAACGCCTGTATTTCCAATGAGGTTTCCTGACTAAAGAGGTCCACCAAATTGGGTTTGAGGACAGATGCACACCAATGATAGTGACTGATGGTGGCTCTACATATTGCGAGTCATCAGAAAATAGCATTTAATATTCCAATAGAACCCCTGACTCACTGACCTACCGATCGTTTTCTACATAGAGCTTTACGCCGGGGTGTAAGAGTTTGAGTTGTCGCACTCCATGTGGCAAACAAAGTGAGACAAAAGATAAGGGGTTCGAAAGGGAAATAATAAACAGAGATGTGAAGAGGAAGTAGACAGCGTCTCAGTTAGAGTGGGAGAGTGGTAGGTTCACCTGTCAATCTGGAAATTCCGAGTTCGATCTCTAGCGGTGTGTTGTGTTTGCACTGTTGAAGAGCTACGGATTAGAATAAGACGGCTGTCTAGTATTCCGGGGTTTTCAATTCTTCTCTTATTGATGTGAGTTAGTGATGAAATTCAACATAAAGTCAGTCACATTCCTGAAAACCAGACGATTGATAATAATCATTATGTTTTACATCAATAATGGCAAATGGCGAATTATAGCGCAATGATGAAAGTAATATTGTCATAGGAATCGTAATCTGCAGTGCTTAACAGTGTGATTCGCTCAACCTCGACAGGTGACAACGGAAATCATCCACATATGTGATGACTTTTGAATGTTTCGCTGCAAGGCATTGTTCGAACTCACAATAATCATGTTAGCATCTTCACTTCAAGTTTGATCTAATATTGTGTTTCAGTTGTGTTGTAGAATACGATTCCTCGTGGACTGTTGATAAATTTGTCTTTTCAACCTCTCCCTTCATTAGGTTAGATATGAAGCTGTCTATTTCAGACCCGAAATATCTGTCTACTTCAAGGTCTTCACTTATAGATGGCTTGGAAATACTCAGATTCTTCATTCAACTTGGAGATTCTCAGATGTTGGATGGTTCTTCGGGTGGGGACGTGTTAATTGAAAAGAGTTTAGCACATCGTTTGATCTATTATGCAGTAATGCAGTACTGTATTTTCCACATAACTTTGCACTTGCCTCAGCGTATTGAAGTACCACATTCTGAAATCTAATCTGCTCTCAATAATATGTGCATTACTCAACACACTATAAAATTAACTCAGAGTGTTGTGGTTAGCGTATTGTTACAACCAGAGGCAGTCTCATTAAGATTCAAATGTTTGAGTTAACATAGATCTGTATGGACCTAAAGCAAATGCTCTTTAATTAGAAATTAACATGTGATGCGTGAATTTATTGCAAATACAAGCACAAGTTTAAGTGCATCTTAAGCAATTACTTTTATGGCCTGTAGGAGTTTTGACTAATTTCAGCGTATTTTGGTGTTGTTGTATTCTGTGAGTTTGAGTGGTTATGCGAAGAAGTTTTCCTTCTGGACAGCGTCATCTGCAATAACTGCATTTTTGTTCAGAAGAATATTGAATGCTTCGCACATGAACTGTCCAGTTCAGAGAACAGGACAAGGCCGAAAATATAGACTTCAGCTATACATCTTCCTCACAACTTTCTAATTTCAGTGTGGTCGTTAATCCATATTGAAATCTGGAGTGAACAGTCATTAAATGAATTTGTTTTGTAGGTCATCTCACAAACACTTGGAATTAGTGAATGCATTCGTATTTTCCTAATTAACACCGAAAACTTGATTTTTCATGTTCACAAGATTTATTCTCTACTAAACGTCTGCGTAAGATTTACGATTGTTGCAGCGCACGTCAAACAGGCACTTGTAGCGAATTCCATAAACAGAATAGAGTCCTAAATTTCAATAAAAACCAAATGAAAAAAGTAAATTAATTCACACTTCAGCAGGTTACAAATATATACTTATTTATTTATATTTACATATATGTGTGTCTGACCCTACGGGAACGGGGGAAATGATATATGCACTCAGAAGTATCCTGTCTTAAAGAGTTTAAGATGCTTGTCGATCATAGTTGAGAGATGTTAGAAGTAGGTAAGTAAACGGTCAGATAGTCAATATCTTGCTGATACTGGCCATTTTATCTCAGCCAACACCTAATTCAAAGTAATGCACAAAGTGAAGAACAACCTACTAAATGGTAATACATTTTTGCTTCTTCATGCATTACTGAATTTCCAATCATCCAGACAGAAAAGCTGGTTCTCCGGAAACTGGAGAAACCTATTCTACCACTTTTGCTATCATGCTAACGACATTCATCTTTGTTTCTTCCAAAATCTTTCAATCTCTCTTGCGTAGTAACACATTTTCATTTGTTTCTATTTGCTTCCTGATTACAACTCATCCTTTCCTTTATTTACTGCACTATGTAATTCTAACGCTCTTGCTCATCTCCTCTGATGCATTGATTTAAGCGGCTGTTATCATGACAACTTGGTTTTCACTGTGCATTAGTCCCTGGATTTGGACTATTGATGAATGTCACAGGGCACCATTGAAATGTTCTTTTTCTTACTAATCAAGTGTAAAGTAAGACTTGAAGTTTGACAGAGGACTGACAGGGAGTGAATTGACCTGATAATCACACCCGTGTAACAGAGAACGGTTGTTGATAATATATCTCATTATGAAGAATATTCAAGAGGCTGAAGTCTCTTGAACAGGTCCCACACAGTAGTCGACAGTGGATAATTATTACTTGAGATTGTGAATTGAACAATTCGTAAAACGTTTAAATGGCTTCGGCGAACCAAACAACACAGCGGCTTAACTCAGTTCAACTCTAATAAAGAAAGCAAATTAACTTGACTGATAGTGTCCTGCAGCAGAATCCATAACTGGGGTTTCTTCTGAATCTGGGTGTATCTGCATCCGCTGTGAGTGATGGTGTTCAAGTTGTGAGTTCAAGTCCGAATAGCCACTCCATTATTCACTGGGAATGTAGTTGCATTCAGATGCTGAACCTCAAGTAGAATGAAATGCAGATCATGGATTCCAGTGCTAGGAACCATCGATCAAGTTTCATCAGGCAAATTGCCACACATCTTTGAGGAGTCCAACATGGAAGCGAATATGTTAACAGAGACTGACAGTTTCAACATAGAATAATTAATCAGTGCTAAACCATATAACTTACTGTGTAATGCATTTTTAAAGGGAACGTTCTATAGCTTTAAAATTCACACGTACTTTTGCAATAAACTCCCAATGATTCTACTCATGGGAAGCAAGCACTATTTTTCTCCTAAAGAGCCTTTATCTGAACATAAGATATATAAAATCTCCTAGTCGCTGAATTTATACATCACATTATATTTGCATGTGATCTTTAGAAGTCAAGAGCTCTCTGACTACGTTTTGAATTACTTGTTTCTAGTGATGATGAATGCATCAGAAAGTGATTTAGCAAACAGAATCGCTCACCTTGGCTAATCCAATGTAAAAAACTATGATCCCCCAAACGACGAGCATGCAAGATATTGAGATGAGCAAAAAGCATCCCTCTCTTTTCAAATGTCTTAAATTCATACCTATCATAACGACTATTATTGTGATGAGAACTGCCGAGCTGACAGAAATTAACAGATATCTCATTTCACCACACTGAAAAAAGTATGCTGTACCCACAGAAATTAAGATGATCTAGGTTGGAGAATAATATAAAACATATGATATTTCACATGATTACAAATAATATTTATATGTTTGTGGTGGCATTACTCAAAATATTAAAGTGACCGGTGAGATTTAAACGACGATACTTCTATGCACGGTGTTTTCTAATATGGGATGAGACATTCAAGCTAGCTGATTTCACGTGGCTCACATTCAGCGAAACTCGTCGATTTGTAATGAAATTAGCAACGGTCATCTCTCATCAGTGATACGTAATACATCATATTACACCTACGTCTTCGGAGTTCAGCATCCTTCAGCAGCTTCATAGCACGGCATCTGGATGATGTGAGACACCAGATCAACATACTGGAATCTCTCACGGTGGTGACTGACATATAACGACTATTTCGAACTGTTGGATTTGTGATGACCTGATGAGTGAAACCTGGGTTTTATGCGCATTCATAAGCAGCTTTTCGGAACTCCGATATCACCCCACTTCACGCCTATGTGCTGTAACAATCTTTTAATCGACCATCGCTGAGATGCACCGTGAACCAATGCAGTATCAATCTGGTTTATTCTGATACATCACATAATCACTGAAAGAATAATAAGTAATGCAAGTTATTTAGACTGGCGTCAATTGACAGGAAGACATGCAACTAGTCTTGATACTTGTTGGAACACATCAACGCCACATATCTCGAACCTTGGAAGAGCTCGTATTCTTTCACACACTTCAGTCGTTGCCAGATGAATTGGTGTTATCTCCATCCAGTTCAGGTCAAGTTAACCTCCTCTTAGGACTGTTTTGTGTGCACGGATTTAGAGTGGGTTAGAAACAGTTTATTTGACCAGATTTAATTGTGTTTTGACTGAGGTGTGATAAAATGCTTAAAGGCATAGCATAAACGTCTCGTCAATGTTTGCTTTCCTTCAGTGACTTCATGGGGATTTCAGCCTACGTGTTTGGCGAATATATTCCAACTAATCCGATGTAGCAAATAGGGCAATGCATACTTTCTCAAGTTTTATAACAGTTAAGGGTTGAAATCGCTTCAGAACATATTGTGTCACTTGGATATCAATTACATAATCAAACCATTGATGAATTTCTGGTAACTGATAAGAGAATTGTTCTCAGTGGATGCATAGTTGACAACACAGGTCACAGAATAGGTTTCAGAATTCGAGTGTTCTCCTGTAAAAACCTTGTGGTACAATGTATGGCTTCAAATAAAATATTCTCAGTAATATCCTCCCTGATGTTGACAGCAAGCGTGACTTCCATAAGGAGCTGAAGTCTCTCGACATTGTGTATTTTCAATAGTCAGCTATGTCTCACATGAATTGTAGAAAGAGGAAATATGATAACACTTTGAAACTACTGAGATAAAAATACACTTACCGATAAGTTCGTTAGAATAAAATTAACTGCAAACATGGACTGTAGGTTTTTAAACAATGTCAAAATAGTGAAGACAATGCCACCACAAATTCTGAAATACAAGTAGGTACATCACTTTTCTTAGCATAAAAGTTGGACAGACCAGGAAACGTATATACAATGTGAATGTATGTTATAAATATTCTGAATGTATTCAGTGTGCACAGATTCTAGTCGGAAATAGAAACTCGTCAAACTGTGATACCAACAATAGTCGATACACAATCACCATATACAAAACTCGAGAAAACTGCGACTGGACAGGCAATCAGTGGATGTATTGTGTGGCACTTCCTCCGACCTGCACTAGGCAGGTTATATTTGGTGAAGAAAGCAAATCATCGACACCTTAGATCAGCCAAACCTGGTTGTCTTTGAGATAATAATAAAGTGTAATGCATTTGTAAAGCATTCAATGAGCAATAACTTCGTTTCATTGCTGAACAGCATGAATAACATTATGCAGTGATAGTTATCGCGGAGTTAGCTGGTGAATCAAGATAGAAAATTGAAAGTATCGCCATATTGTAGTGTCAATGAAATGAGTGTTGAGAACGACTTACATGCAGATCACCGTTATCTTGAAGTGTCGAATGCTAAGAAAATATGAGAGGTAGCTAGACATGGCAATACATTTCTTACTCTATCTGTGGTTCCTCAGATGGTGTCTCTGTGTTAGAAGCCATTAGGAGAAATTCGTAAACTGGATATTTTTGCTTTTATCATACAAGAAAGATTTATTACCATTTTTCGAAGATTGAGAGTAGTAATAACTGGCGACCTGCAATTCTAGTAAAATACCACAAGGATTCATTATTCAACACTCACCTCTATTGGATACAGATCGGATAGGCTACAAAAGTAGGAGAAGGGTCACTACAAATATACACTTTCAAAACAACGACACAACGTAGTCACTTTTATTTCAATGTGTCCAATGGATATGAAATGAGTGAAGCAAACAGGAATAATCACAACTTCTAACAGTAGAGCTGAGTGGATAGAAGATTCGGAAAGAATAATAACATGGTTTGTTGTAGTCTCTGTTGTATCGACTGCTTACAACTTACGGAGCATGACTTGTACATAAGAAGATAAACATATTTCATGTAAATAGATGAAGTCATTCGAAGAGAAACTGTCGCATTCAACAAACAATATGACTATGTAATGGAACTAACAACTCCTGAGAAGCAGTTTATTGAAACAATTGGAATAATGTTTGACTTAGACAACGAGCGATTATGAGAAAATTTAATTGACTCGGTATATTCAGCAAACGTAGCGTTTAACCAGGAGCCAGAATCATCACCCTGTAGGAAACACTACGACTACTAGTGAAACCTGAAGCAGAGAGAAAATGAACTTATTCTTTACTGAAATTGGGAAGACACTTCAATTCAAGCGATCAGCTGGTGAACACCCTCAGTCAATCAGAAGAAAACCGAGAACACCCTGAGGGTGTAATCATAATAATATCAATATGAGCATCGAAGACTGTCATAAATTGAAAGTTTTGAAATGGAATTCCGTTAGATTAAGATAGAGGTTGACCACTGAATCTCTGCTCGTTGAATCAATACCGAACCGTAGGAGTCCTAATGATACAACGCCTATACGCTATATATGGAAAATTGTAATCAATAAAAATAGGGAAGCGAAAGGATATATAAATCCAATAGTCAAGTCATGTGAATACATTGATGTGACTGTTTATGCGGAATAAATTGTGCTCAAAACATCATCCAGTTATTAATACTGTATCACTGTGTGTTATATTAAATAAACTTATCTATAGTGTACTTACATTCTACGACAGTAACCGAGTGCAACACTTACAAAACCGACAGTGTATTACGAATGTAACTGGAAAACTAAGAATGCTGCCATCTGACCACAATCGTAGGCGTCTACAAAAAGCCTAAAATATGATTGGGTGTCTGTCTGTCTATCTATCTATCTATCTATCTCACAAGTGATTATTATCACTCTATATGAGAATTCTGAGTGGCAGACTTCAGAGTTGCATATTGGGCGCTAAATCAATTTCATTCTCAAACGCAACGCAACGCAACGAGTAGAAATGTGATTCTAAGGAATTCCTGAGATAATTTCAACCACAAATATTCATGAAGTATACATAGATGAAATCATCGTAGTAGTTGACCTCTAAGGGAGAAGAGACTAGACTAGTTTTGTTTTGTGAATGGTATTGATACAGTAGGAAATGATGGCTTACAACAATCAATAGATTTCATGTTTAGATCAACTTTTCTCACCATTTTCCTTCCTTTGTTTCCGGAGTTTCACTGTTGGTGGTGTTGTTTGGTATGCAATAGGGTTGATAGCTTCATCTGTTATGTCAGCTCTTTTCTGAAGTTACCGCCTAGTAGATTAGGTATGGCTTAATAAGGCATCCAACAAGAATTTGACCAGAAGTCCTCAAGTGGCTGGAGAACATTCTGCCATTGAATCAACGGTGTATCTTTAGACCCATATTGACGCCGAACTCTGAAACCTAAAGTATATTCATTTTTGCAAAGAGGATTTCCTAATTTTTATTTTTATTAGTTTTATTAATTATTAATTTTTCGAAAGAGGAGACAACATTGTACAGAACAAAAGCCCAAATTAGTTGATCAACGTCCAAGTTCCTTCATCTATGACAAATTCCATGCAGCGTGCGTTTTCTTAAACGAATTTCATCATCGGTACTTAGCCTGTGAAGTGTGAAGTGCGGTAATTTTCCCATACTATCCACAGGAAGTGAATTAGAATCACTCAATCTAGTGAGATTCCATAAACTCTTTTTCAGTATATCTGCAAAATAATTACTGACTGAGCAATCTGAGAGCTTTCGACATGCTTCCTTACAAAATTTACAATATGTGAGCGTTGAATTATTCTAGCAGGGAATTCGTCTGACTTTTTAGAAGCTCATTGAACTCCAGTTACCAGACATCTTATATTTATGAGTGATTTCTAAATCTTCACGAACTAGTTTAAGCTCACACATGGTATTGATCGTTGTGAACTTCTTGAGAAACAACAAGATGTTAATTCCTAACACTAATGTCAAGTCAGTGCCTCTGTATGGTTCAGAGGATTGGGGTGTCTCCGAAAGCATTTCCAACAGGCTGCTGTAGATTTTCATCGATACCTGACTTCGGTGGACACTGAAGATCAGAAGGCGGTTAGAAAAGATGATCAAGAAGGAACTGTGGCTGACAGCGAACCTATAAACATTCTAGTAATAGATATTCAGGTGACGTTACACATCACACCCCTGAGTGGAACCCGAATGGGAAGTGTTGAGTTGGGCGTCTGTGCGTGACGTGCACTGTACCATGCGTAGAGAAAGCGAAAGTATGTGGACAGTCATGGAGCAAGTCGAAAGTGGTCGTAGATAACTGAATGTGACTGAGATCTACTGGTGTACACCAGTACACACTTAGGAAGCAGGAAAAGTAAGATAATTAATAATAATAGTATGCCGTCGTTGTTGTGTAGAGAATCAGCATAACTTGTCTTTCATTCGGGAATTTCATCATATCCATGGCGTACGATCGGTGTTACTAATCAGCCATGGGAACTAGAACTTGTGAGAGCTCATTTGTTTTCAATGTAACTCTCCTCACACTTAGTGTTATGGACGGCCATTCGAAAGTTTAGGAAGTTAGAGCTGAGAGCTGACTACAATTCAGGCTGTGTCCAACAACAACGCTATCAAATATTTTACTTGAGATGGAGAGGAGCATGAATTCACGCAAGTTCATGCCCTTTCTTTCCTCATGAAGTGGTGGGGTGAATACCTCCGCTGAGACCTCTGTGTCCGATTTCAGCGTTGTCGTTAAGCTTCCCATCTGGTCTTGTTACTTTCTCAACTTCAAACTACTTCATTGCTTCATTTTCAGGACTTTTGCTTTTATTATAGAATGTTTGCTGGTAGTATTTTTGAGTGATTTACAAGCAATAGTCCACTGAGCAGTTCTTTAAAGTGGTCAGTTCAGTGTGTCACTGGTTTCACCCCTTTGATGATCGAGATTTCCTCCCTATCTTCAAATGCCTTCACACCAGGTGAGTTCTCCTCTGACAGTTACCCCAACATTTGATGTGGCGTTGTGAGTTGTCTGTCACACACGACTTCTTCTCCTCACGGATATAGACCTAGTTATCTAGGGTAATATTCTGGGGTCTTTTAGCCTGAAGCCTGTTCTTCAGTTGACATTGTGCTGTGGAACTGTTTTTTTCATCATCTCAACTTTCCTGAGCAGCATCGTGATGAAGTCTAGCTGATTATCAATGTGTCTATGAGGCGAAATCAAAGTTGCCTTGTGTCCACCTCTGTGTTTGTACACGCCGCCCCCAATCACCGAGTCACTGAAGTCGCAGAAATCTCTGAAGAATTGTGCATTTTCATTCACTCTGCTGAGAGGTTATAGACCCTGATGAGTTTTAGTCCCATACTGACTGCTCCCAGTTCAGCACTCATACCATACATTGAAGAAACTGGAGTAGATCACTCATTCTCCAGTTAAAAATTCTTGAAGGTGCACATTCATTCCTCCTACTCTCACAAATTCACAGCAATGAGATGCCGGATCTTTTCATCTATTTGGCGAATTCAGTAGTCTTCCAAGCTTCAAACAATATTCGACATTCCATGCCGCCTTGCATATTCCTACTTTCATTGAAAGACACTCCGTCTGACTGGCTTCTCAAAGGCTTTTACAAGTCTGTTGCATTCCATCTACCCGACGCCAGCAAAGAAAAGATTTCTTCCTCATAATTTGGCTGTCCTTTGAAGTTTCGTAGGAGATCGGATTGATTTCCCAAAGTAGGATCGCCAGCCACGCGTCAACCTTCCCTCTTTCCCCGTGTTTTGGACCGGCTATTGAACTACTAGACTAATTGTGGTTATAGCAAACGTTGCAACAATGGGACAATGAAACGTTAGGCAGATAGATACTATTATAATAAGTGGTCTGTTAGTCAGTAGAATTCTGGAGTATAGTGAATCGACACTTGCTGTATTATCTAATATTTGTTCAATTTATTGTAAGTCATTATGACTGAAACAGAAGTCGTAGGTAGTCGTCTTCCCGAGCCTCGAATCTTCCATCTAGTACTGCGTAAGTTGTAACTGTCCTCGCTCAACATTCACATTATGTGATTGACAGTAATCAGTTTCTCTTATTTCATCGTTATTCAAAGCAAATAATACCAATAGTTTAAGAAGAAATTTTAAGTTCATCTGGCACTCTGATTCTTTGACTGAGCATCTCAGTGTATTTTTGAAAGTAGCATGTTTCAGTTTAACGTCCTTATAAAACGATTCATTTTCACTTGGCTCGTTTATAGTAAATGAAAAATATGTTAGATGGAATACACTCACGATAGTTTTTACTTCGATTGGGTTAGACAGTAAGAAACACGTTACACAAAGTACACAAAATCTATAATTACTGGATATTTCATCTTTGTGCATATTAGACTTAGTTGAGTGTCTTGTCGTTTTAAGTTTACGAGTGTTCGCAGAGTGTACTTCTCTTACTCCAGAATCGATAAATCGCCTTGACATTACCAGAAGGTAATTCATCTGAATCACCTTTATTATGAACATAACAATGATGGAATAGCGAAACATTTCTCAGATGAACTTCAATATATCATGCGCTATACTAGTCATTAAGATTTTTGAATGGAGTCACCTAGTCGACTAGGCACTTCCTGTCCTACTTGAAACTTGTGTAATTCATTTTAGGTCCTCAGAATCGAAACAGTAGACAACAACAGTAGACAAGAATACCTGTACGTTAATCACGCCGATTATCAGAGACTTAATAGAAAGTATCACAAATGAATCAATCTACACGAATAAATTTCAAACCCAGAAGTATATACACAATCTGAGAATTTGTATTCTGAATCAAGCAGTAACTTTCAGTTGATGTGTGTGAGAATGATTCAGATTGCTTTGGACGTTGTATGTGCAATAGTCTATATCGGCTTCTGTAGTTGGTTATTCTAAAGATGATGGAATTATAATTGTCAGTTAAGTGACAGTTTGTTGTCATTCAGTACTAACTCAAGAGTTGGTGAGTAGTGACGTGAGAACAATGAAAAATGGTGATTGTGATGATATCTACCAAAAAATTAAGCGTCAACCAGTACAATGTTTCGAAATATTGCGTTCGTTCTTCTTTCAGTGCACATATATGATATTGGTTTGTCAACATGTAAGAACATTAGACGTTTTAAAGGGTATTTGATATAATTGCTTATCTCTAACGAGGTCTTTACTATCTTTCTATGTATTCTGTTTCTACGAGTTGATCACAGAACCGTTGCAAACCAGAGAGAACTGAACAGCTGCTTTTCCATCCTAATTTGGAAATCATCGGCAGTACGCACCCGCTGGGATACGAACTCAGGACCTTCCGGTTGCAAGGCAAGCTCGTATACTATTCAGCCACTGGAACCCGATTCAATGGCTCGTCAATTCTAACTTCTACCAATTCGTGATTTAGCGCGACCCAAACCGTTGTCGTTGTTGGGACACCCATCCACACACTTGACATCAAATTGGACCTCACTGGTCATGACTTCTCACTGGAACTCAGGAAACTCTAAACTGTAGCAAGTCACTGGCGTGCATCGGATTAATTTTCTGTAGTTTGGTTTGTAAGGGTTAGTTATTATTAGTTCATGATGTATTAGTTTATTCTGTATGCTTGAAGATGTTTATTGCTTTGTCCAATGATATTGGCTAAAATACCGAATTTTGACATATCAACGATTTCGAAATAGCGAATTTAATTCGGTATCT